ATATTTTTCAGAGGTCATTGGGGTAAAGAGTTTCTGAGATTAGATATGAAGAAAGTGGTTTTCTATAAAAGATGATTTGAGAAACACTAAAGTTCTGGTTTTAACTGGGTGTACAAAGCAGAATCACCTGGGAGTCTTTTCCTCCCAAATAATGCAATCCAGGGCCTTACCAATGAAATTAGAATCTTCACTGGTGTTCCCAGATATGTTTGGGATACAAATCAACAACAACGACAACAGATCTCTTCTGGACATTCATATAAATGCCTCTGCTTAAATATCTCTCCTATGGATTCCAAACACTTGACCACAACTTCCTTTGTAGCTTTGCTGAATTTAACCAGCACTTACCTTCAAGGTTATGAGTCTCCCTGTTTCCTTTCTAAAGTGATATTGATAAAAAAAATTCAGTTTTTAATAATAAGCATAAGATACATGAGTGTAAGGATGTCAGGCCAAGCAAAGATGAAGGCTAAGGAAGAGCACAAACCAGCAAATTGCATTTATAGAACGGGAGTCAGGCATGGGAAAATGTGGTAAGGACGTCACAACATATATCTTATAGCTCTGTCCAGAAGTGAGGAAGAACAAGAAAGGGGTTCGTTTCATGGAAAAAGTTTCAGAAAAATTTGATTTAACACCTAATTTGCTTCTTTATTCATCATTATCAAACATATGCAGAGAAATGAAAGTGGACAGTAGGTGAGGTTCCAGCAAATGAGCACCAAGATGCTCTCAATGAATTAAATTGAGGGAGACAATGTGTGTTTCACATTACAGACATGAAAAAGGAAAAGGAAAAAAATCTGAGTAGAATGACCAAAACTTAGCATGCATATCTTTGTGGATAAATTGTAATCTAGCACCTGAGTTAAAACATTCAGCTACCTATACAAATGTTGGGTAAAATCTATTAGAGTAGCAAGTTATGTTTTAAAAAAGAAAACACGGGTTCTAGTGTTCACTGAAATCTCTGTGTAAATTTACCATGTGGCGTGGTTGTCACCATGTCTATGATAGGAATACAGTTGCCTGACAAATGATGTAATAGTTATATTTTTTTAAGTTTTATTTAGATTTATTTAGTCCTATTGCTGCGCAAATCTAGCAATACACAGAGTACCTCCTTGTCAAAGGCATGTGTCCTAGTCCCATACGTTTCCTGTTCCGAGCTCATGAAGCATCAGTACCAGTAATGCTGTGTCCCTTCCTCAGAGGTCTGAGGCCCAGCTTTGTAGAATCCCTCTCATAAACTTCTAAGTTTTAATAATTCCATCTTTTTCCTTTACTACTTCTGTGATACCTTTAGCGTTCTCTTTTGCCTTTCAGTTTTTTGATACCTGGGTAACAATTCTTTTTATTAAATCATTTTGACTAAAAAAACTTTTTTTTTTTTAACTTATCTGTGTTTGTTACAAGTTTTAAGTGGATTGTGACTCAGGCACTATATTTCTATTCACAAGCCTCCCTTTTCAAACAGCTTTACA